GCCCGCATGGGTACAAGCAAGCCTAGCATTTTTCTCAAGCCACTGGATTCAGGACTTGAACTGTGCAGTTAGTTGGTCATATAGAAACTGGCTGCTTTAATCATGATTTCATGTAACTAGCACTATTCTTTTTTTTTTAAATTTTGTGTGACATTATGAGGAACAATTTATGACAAAATATAAATTTTACACTTTAAAATTCAAAGTGCTTTTTTTTTTTAGATGATAAACTCCTTAACACAGAAATTAACATTTCTTGCTTATATGACTTTTATTTAAGTGTTTAATTTTATTTTCTTTTTTGGAGAGGTTTTTGCTGTAGGGTGCATGTGCTCACAAGAAAGACAGAGAGAGAAAGAGAGACAGAAAGCAAGAAATCACCCTGGGTGGTGGCCACGCCGCAGTCCCTTCTCTTCCACGCACCCGTCAGGATCTTGGGCATGCAAGCACACGTGCACAGTGTGAGTTTAAGCCACCGGGTCTGGGACTTGAACCATTGTCGATTACATAGGAGTCCAGCGACATAGCCATTACACTAACTGCTGGTCCCTAAGTGTTTAATTTTTTGGAATGAAAATAATTTAAGTAATCTGTAATCACATCCGTGTTTCCATATTGACAGAAGTACATGCTTTACTCTTCTTCTTCTTCCTCTTCCTCTTCCTCTTTTTTCTTCGTCTTCTCAGGATCTCTTTTTGAAAATTTTCTATAGGATGCGTGCGCTTACCAGAGTGAGAAATCACCCTGAGGGGTTGACCATGTCATAATTCCTTCTCCATTGTCTTCTCAGGATTTGGGGCATGCACATACATATGTGGTGTGTATTCGAGCTATCAGGTCCAGGTCTGATACTGAAAGTGCAGTCAGCCATGTGAAATCCAGCCTCCTCAAATCCCATCCTTACCTGCTAGCCCAAAATTACATGCGCTTTTAAGAATAAACTTTACACTTGCTCAAAGTTTAAATAAAATGTTATTGATAGTACAGTTAGAAAATAGAGGAGGAATCACAGGTCCTTAGCTCCCTGGTTAAGGCAGTTGAATCTCATATGGCTGACTACATAGTTCAAGTCCTTGATCCTGTGGTTTGGAAAACACACCAGGTGCATGTGCATGTGTATCAAAAATCCTGAGAGTAGAATGGAAAAGAGGAGTGATTTTTCACTTTTTATCGCTTTGCTGCATCTCTCCAGGGAGCACACATGCAAACTAAAAAAAGGGAAAAGAAATTAGGTGGTGAACTAAACATAAGATGTTAATTTTACATGTATATATATTTCACTTACTTGTTCTACCTAACATATTTGACTAATGTGTTTGTTCTCTCTGCATAAAGATATTTTACACAAAATTTTTGGATTTGGATATGTTTAGTTTAAAATACAAACTTATCTGTAAACCAAGTAGGATACCCTGAGCTTATATGCTCATAAGTGTTTTCGTATTTTAAAAATCCAACCATGGTCTCCACACACATGTTTCTTGCACATAGGGTATGTATAGTGAAGTCTAAAATGAATTCTTTAAATGAGTCATTTTAGAATATTTTGAAAAACTGATTTCAGATCTCACCGTAAACAATACATGGAGGAATTGAGCCACAACATCTACGTCACTGAAGATGAAATAGCTAGAGGCAGATATGCTCATTATGTCAGTATTTACCAACATTGAATACATTCCTAGAAAATGCATAAAATTGACCAACATTTTTTTCTATTTTTTACCAAACCAATTTTTAATCTATGTTTTGTCATGGGCATTTTCTTGGACATTTTCCAGTAGTTCATTTTACATTAGGAAATATTTTTCCTGGTATGATAATTTTTAAACCTAAGTCCCCAGTGACAAAATTCTCTAAGTAGCTATAACAATTACCCATGTATTTAGACCTAATGTAAAATTATTTTTCATTTTGTCTAAGCCTGCTTATCTTTCTTTAAATATTTATTTATTTATTTCCATTTATTTTTATTATTTTGTAATTTGACCAGAGAGAGAGACAGAGAAAGAGAGAAGGAGAGAGAGTGAAAGGGAGAAAGCAAGCTGCCAGGTCCAGGACTCAAACCATAGTCAGCCATGTGGGAATCCAGCACCTTCAACCACCATGCCACCTGCTGGCCCTAAGCCTGTTTATCTTGAGAGTTGAAAGCATAGTCATGATACTGTATATATATATTTTTTTTGGAGAGGTTTTTTTTGCTATAGGATGCATGCGCTCGCCAGACAGAGAGAAAGAGAGACAGAAAGCGAGAAATCACTCCCCAGAGGGGATGGTCATGCCGCAATCCCTTCTCCTCCATTCTCCTTTTGGGATCTTGGGCATGCACGCACATGCACCCGGCGTGAGTTTTAAGCCACCGGGTCCAGGATGCGAACCACGGTCAACTACATGGGAGTCTAGCGACATAGCCATTACTCTAACTGCTGGTTCCCATGATACTGTATATTAATAAAATGTCTCCCAGTGTTATCAGATGCCTGATGTACGTGCTGGTTGTGGAGGATGTTTACCTGCCAGGGAAGAAACACAGGCTGGTCTGCATCTTCTGGAGGTCCCATTTCTATGATCTGAAAAAGCATCTCATGAAGGACTTGGGCCACCACATACACAGCATGATAGACAAAAAAGCTGGACTCAAACACAGTCATCATGTCTATAGCAGGTGGCATAAACTCCAGGGAAGAATTTGGTGGGCCTGCTTTAGTTCCTCTACACAATGATGTAGTAAATTTACAATTAGAAAAGTTCAACCAGAATTTCCTAAAGTAAACATCTTCTGGGTTGACTGTCTTGAGAAATTGTTCAGAGCCAGAGATTTTCCTTTTGTGGTGTGAAAATAAGAGGCTTCCATAGAGTAAGCATGGTGGAAAATGTATAAAAGAAAAGATATCATTCCACTCATGAGTGAAGATTTTTCATGATCCACACCTTTTCCAAAATTAAATAGCTATTTTTTATTATTATCAGTGTATAAACACTTGTGAAATCACCATATATAATATACGCATTTGCAAATGAAATCCTTATTTTATTCCGAGAATACAGACGATTCCCAAAAGCAACACCTGATGGGGTAAAGAGCCTTTCTACAAAATCCACACAGATATTCGTTTTCATTATCTCTTCCTTCAGATCCTGAAGGAACTCATCCCCTTGCATATCTTCAGATACAAAGAGACCCACCCATGTCCAGGCAAAACGCAGCAACAACCAGATAATTCCATGAGCCAGAGAGTTTTCCTTGGTAGCCTCCTGATTAACTGATGAAAATTTGTTTTTATCACTTAGTATGGGATCAAAAAGGCCATATGTGACCTGAATAGAAAAAAGAAGTAGCCTGATTGTGAACTTAGTGAAATTCGGGCTTGGAGTTGATCTCTTTATTTATTTTTTAGTTTCATTATTTTTAAAAATTATATTTATACATTTAATCACTGTACATAAAGATAGCTTGTAAAAAGAATTTTCCTTGCCTGAAGACACTACACACCAGTCCAGTTAAAGATGTCATACACTATATCATGAACAATTTTCCATTTTTTCATCCCCCAGATGTGTATCCCCTCTATTTTCCTCTGCTCTTCCTTCTATTAGTGTTGAATCTCCCATCCTCTTCCCCTCCAATTTATAACACAGGCCACATTCTGCAGTGGACTATTGTTATTAGTGAACATTTAGTCTCCTGTCAGAACTGCAAAGCCCTTGAATACAAATTCTGCCTAGTGCACCTGTGTATCATCCACCCCCAGCACAGCTGTTTTCTTTGTTCATCATAGATGGGTTAACAGTTCTGACTGAAATATAATATACATTTTAATCATTGAAAGTATGCTAAGAATTAAGTATAAGAATTCAACAGGGGAACTCCAAGATGAAATGATTAAAAGAAAAAGCAAACAGGTAAAAATTTTCTTGATCTTAAATAAAGAACAAATAGGCAAATAAACACAGCCCTGTCTTCCCCACTCACTCCTAGGGACTAAGTGTTAACTGTTCAAGGACGCGCCCTAATGACTCTAATGCAACCATTGTCCAAAGGATCGATGGGTGTGTAGAGACCAAAATGTGAGTGCTAGATAGACAAATTAATATTGGAGCAGGAAGGTATGAATACTTTTTAAAATCTCTAAATGCCTATGGAATTTTAATAAAAATGGCCTCCTCTCATTCACTCCATGTCCCCTCAGTGCCTCTGCCCTACATAAATGGCTGATTTACGAAGTCATCGCATATTACGCTTATTCCTTAATAATTAACACACCTCAGTTATTCCCTACAAGGTTTCCTGGGCTCATGCAGATTGAAATATTTTTCCATTGTCTTAAATTTCACCTTGGAGTACTCAGCCCTTCCGTTCTGGAAATAGGGGGCTCACTGTCACAGGACTGTGCCGGCATTCTCCTTCATTTTCTGTTTACGTTGTCCTCTACGTTTATTTTCCCCTCTATATTCTTTATTCACCCTTTTTTGTTTCGTTCCAATTACTATTTCCAATGGAACTTTGGAAGATCCCAGAACTTTCCATGTAGCCAGACTGCCTAGCCTTCTGGGTATATTTTGGTGGTCTTTGCTATAATTCACTTATAATTCGTTTTGAATCTATCTATAGCCTTGTTTTCTGCCCAGGGTTTTGTTCAGTCAGCTCACGTTACCTGAGAATGTATTCCACATACTCCCTGGGTGGTGAGACGGCTTTCAACTTCTATGTTTTCTTGGGTTTAACTTCTTTATACGTGGAAATCCCAAATCCAGACACTTTCATATTATCCAGAAGGATTCTGATATACTTTGCATTTATATTTTACATGTGTCTTGTACACACATGACTATCGTAAGACTTGGAGGAGTGCTATCCAATTTGTGAAACTGGTTTTTAGTCCTATAGACATAGTAGAAAGATTAGCTTCAATTTTAAATAAACATACATTTTCCCAAGTAGAAAACAATTCAGTGGTCTCTCTGTTTTGTTGTTCAGCATCTTTTTTAAAAAAGAATTAATTAATTTTATTACTATAGTTTTTTACATGTGCTCACCAGAGAGAGATAGAGACAAAAAAGGAGAGGGGAAGTGAGAAAGTAAGCTGCCAACTCCAGGACTTGAACTACAGACAGCCATGTGGTGAGTCCAACACCTCAACAACTATGCCATCTGCTGGCCCCAATTGTTCAGCATCTTAATACATAAATTTCTCCTTTTTTTCTTTTTGTTTGATTGTTTGTTTTGTTTGTCAGATTTTTGCTTTAGGGCACTTGCACTTACCAGAAAGACAGAGACAGAGAGACAGAAAGCAAGAAATCACCCTCCCAGAGGGGATGACAATGCCACAATCCCTTCTCGTCCATTCTCCTCTCGGGATCTTAGGCGCGCCATATTGACAGAAGTACATGCTTTACTCTTCTTCTTCTTCCTCTTCCTCTTCCTCTTTTTTCTTCTTCCTCTTCTTCTCTCTTTTTGAAAATTTTCTATAGGATGCGTGCGCTTACCAGAGTGAGAAATCACCCTGAGGGGTTGACCATGTCATAATTCCTTCTCCATTGTCTTCTCAGGATTTGGGGCATGCACATACATATGTGGTGTGTATTCGAGCTATCAGGTCCAGGTCTGATACTGAAAGTGCAGTCAGCCATGTGAAATCCAGCCTCCTCAAATCCCATCCTTACCTGCTAGCCCAAAATTACATGCGCTTTTAAGAATAAACTTTACACTTGCTCAAAGTTTAAATAAAATGTTATTGATAGTACAGTTAGAAAATAGAGGAGGAATCACAGGTCCTTAGCTCCCTGGTTAAGGCAGTTGAATCTCATATGGCTGACTACATAGTTCAAGTCCTTGATCCTGTGGTTTGGAAAACACACCAGGTGCATGTGCATGTGTATCAAAAATCCTGAGAGTAGAATGGAAAAGAGGAGTGATTTTTCACTTTTTATCGCTTTGCTGCATCTCTCCAGGGAGCACACATGCAAACTAAAAAAAGGGAAAAGAAATTAGGTGGTGAACTAAACATAAGATGTTAATTTTACATGTATATATATTTCACTTACTTGTTCTACCTAACATATTTGACTAATGTGTTTGTTCTCTCTGCATAAAGATATTTTACACAAAATTTTTGGATTTGGATATGTTTAGTTTAAAATACAAACTTAACTGTAAACCAAGGAGGATACCCTGAGCTTATATGCTCATAAGTGTTCTGTAAACCAAGTAGGATACCCTGAGCTTATATGCTCATAAGTGTTTTCGTATTTTAAAAATCCAACCATGGTCTCCACACACATGTTTCTTGCACATAGGGTATGTATAGTGAAGTCTAAAATGAATTCTTTAAATGAGTCATTTTAGAATATTTTGAAAAACTGATTTCAGATCTCACCGTAAACAATACATGGAGGAATTGAGCCACAACATCTACGTCACTGAAGATGAAATAGCTAGAGGCAGATATGCTCATTATGTCAGTATTTACCAACATTGAATACATTCCTAGAAAATGCATAAAATTGACCAACATTTTTTTCTATTTTTTACCAAACCAATTTTTAATCTATGTTTTGTCATGGGCATTTTCTTGGACATTTTCCAGTAGTTCATTTTACATTAGGAAATATTTTTCCTGGTATGATAATTGTTAAACCTAAGTCCCCAGTGACAAAATTCTCTAAGTAGCTATAACAATTACCCATGTATTTAGACCTAATGTAAAATTATTTTTCATTTTGTCTAAGCCTGCTTATCTTTCTTTAAATATTTATTTATTTATTTCCATTTATTTTTATTATTTTGTAATTTGACCAGAGAGAGAGACAGAGAAAGAGAGAAGGAGAGAGAGTGAAAGGGAGAAAGCAAGCTGCCAGGTCCAGGACTCAAACCATAGTCAGCCATGTGGGAATCCAGCACCTTCAACCACCATGCCACCTGCTGGCCCTAAGCCTGTTTATCTTGAGAGTTGAAAGCATAGTCATGATACTGTATATATATATTTTTTTTGGAGAGGTTTTTTTTGCTATAGGATGCATGCGCTCGCCAGACAGAGAGAAAGAGAGACAGAAAGCGAGAAATCACTCCCCAGAGGGGATGGTCATGCCGCAATCCCTTCTCCTCCATTCTCCTTTTGGGATCTTGGGCATGCACGCACATGCACCCGGCGTGAGTTTTAAGCCACCGGGTCCAGGATGCGAACCACGGTCAACTACATGGGAGTCTAGCGACATAGCCATTACTCTAACTGCTGGTTCCCATGATACTGTATATTAATAAAATGTCTCCCAGTGTTATCAGATGCCTGATGTACGTGCTGGTTGTGGAGGATGTTTACCTGCCAGGGAAGAAACACAGGCTGGTCTGCATCTTCTGGAGGTCCCATTTCTATGATCTGAAAAAGCATCTCATGAAGGACTTGGGCCACCACATACACAGCATGATAGACAAAAAAGCTGGACTCAAACACAGTCATCATGTCTATAGCAGGTGGCATAAACTCCAGGGAAGAATTTGGTGGGCCTGCTTTAGTTCCTCTACACAATGATGTAGTAAATTTACAATTAGAAAAGTTCAACCAGAATTTCCTAAAGTAAACATCTTCTGGGTTGACTGTCTTGAGAAATTGTTCAGAGCCAGAGATTTTCCTTTTGTGGTGTGAAAATAAGACTTCCATGGAATAAGTATGGATTGAAACGTTTCATAGAAAAAATACCTTTCCACTCTGATGAATGGAGATTTTTCATGATCCAAACCTTTTCCATAATTAAATAGGTATCTTTTTCTCTTATCAGTGTGAAGACACTTTCAATATCACCATATATTATATACACATTTGCAGATGAAACCCTGATCTTAGGTGGAGAAGACAGACTATTCCGGATAGCAGTACGTGACGGAGCAAAGAGCCTTTCTACAAAAGCCACACAGATACTCTTTTTCATTACCTCTGCCTTCACATCCTGAAGGAACTGCTCCCCTTGCATATCATCAGACACAAAGAGACCCACCCATGTCCAAGCAAAATGCAGCAGCAACCAGGTAATTCCATGAGCCAGAGAGTTTTCCTTGGTAGCCACCTGATAAACTGATGGAAACTTGTTTCTATCACTTAGGATGGGATCAAAAGGACCATATGTGACCTAAATAAAAAAAAAGAAGTAGCCTGAGTGTGAACTTAAAGGAATTTGGGGTTGGAGTTATTTCCTTTATTTAGTTTTTAATTTAATTATTTTTAAAAAGTAATTTTATACATTTAATCACTGTACATCAACATAGCTTGTCAGAATTTTCCTAGCATGAAGATACTACACACCGGTACAGTTAAAGATGTCATACAGAATATTATATCCCAGAATTCAACCAGGAAGATTGAACCACAACAGAAGATAAAGTACATGAGACTGAACTGGTGAAATAGTATTTTATGACTTTTGGCTAAAATATTGTTGATTTTCTTCTAGGCTTCATTGTCTGGTTTTAAAGATTTTTGTCTTGTCTTGAACTGTCAATAGGTTCATGTACCTACTAAAGAGAATCCTAACCTGTTTCCTGGCTTTAAGTTTTAAGCAAGTTCATTAGCATTTCTTTGACTTATTAAAGTTAAAACAGCTTTTCTTGAAATTACCAAATGAACTTGCTATTGAAAGTAGTTAGATTATTTAAGAAATTGTGTAATCAAAAGAAGAATGAGGGGGGTAAAAGGAAGGCACATAACTGTAGACACCAGAGATAGTGTGAGAAGAGGGTGTTAAAGGGCAGAGGATCAAAAATAGGTATATATATATATATATGTATATATATAATATCCACTATGCGGTATATTCTGGATAGAAAGTCACATTTTGTATGCTGTGATAATGCTTAGAGTATGAATATAAATTAATTAACTTAAAAAATGTTTCAGAAAAAAAATCACAAATTTTTTTCTTGAAATTAAAAAAACTGCATTAAAAATACCTGTTTAATGACTGCAGTAAGCTATATAGCCCTAGCTAGGCGCTACTTTATAGTATGTTCATTCTACTCACTGAGGTTTATGCCTAAAGTCAGACTTGTATTCATGGATATGTATATATCAGCTGTGCTTGTTATTGAAAATATTTAGATTAATAATATCTTCAGTGGATCAATTAAATGCGTGTGGAGGGGAAGGCATAGATAGAAACCATGGATTCCAGAGACAGTGTGGGAGGAGTGTGGAAAATGGCAGAGGGTGAGAGGGAATCAAGGATGGGAAAAAAGCAAAATATACAGGAAGCAAGAAATGGAAAATTATTTATTGACAATAACAAGTATGTTGATGTGCTTGATTGAGCCAATATACAGTGTATTCTGGATGGAAAATCTCATTTTGTATGCTATAATAATGTATAGTAAATGAATGTAAATGAATACATTTAAATAATAAGAAAAAAAATGCCATACACTATACCATCAGCAGTTTTCCACTTCTGCATCCCCCAGATGTGTATCCCTTGATTGTCTTCCTTTTGCCCTCCCCTAGCTTCGATCTTCTTCCCACATTGTATCCAGTAACTGTAACTATTTTCTATGCTTCTACATCCCCCAATATTTCAGTTTCTGCCATTGCGTGGAATTTGGTGTAAGTGGAGACATACAATGTCTCTCTTTCATAGACTGACTTGCTTCGCTAAGAAGTAAGTCTTTGTATTAATAAACTTACTAACAAACGTCAGGGTATTTCTTTATGACTGAGTGGTATTCCATAGTGTATTCCATGTGCCACACTTTTCCAAGCCTTTTGTCCATTCATAGACATCTGCTTTGGTTTCATGTCTTAGCAATGGGAATAATGATGCAATAACCATGGATGTTCAAGTACATTTTTGACTGAATACATTGCTGTCCTTTGGGTAAATACCCAGAAATGAAATTGCTGGATCAAATCTTGTATTTGTTGGTCTTTGAGGAACCTCTATATTGGATCAAATCTTCTATTTGTTGGTCTTTGAGGAACCTCTATATTGTTTTCCACAGCAGCTGTACTAATTTACATTCCCATGAACAGTGTAAAAGTGCTCTTTTTTATCCCCACTTTGCCAGCACTTATTGTTGTTTATGTTATTACTTAACCATTCTGACTAGTTAGGTGCTATCTATTGTGACTTTGATTTTCATCTCCCTTATCATAAGGAATGTTGATCATTTTTTCATCTGCTTTTGGCTGTTTGTATATCTTCCTTAGAGAACTGTCTGGTCAGCTCATTTTCCCATTTTTTAATTGGGTTGATGATTTTTTTTTTTTATTTCTGAGTAAGTTGTTTGACTTCTCTGTATATTCTGTCCTCAGTCCCTTGTCTGAGGCATAGTTTGCAATTAAATTGTCCCATTTTGAAGGTTGTTGAGTCAGTCTAAATTTTTTTTTTTTTTTTTCTGTGCAGAAGTTTCTTAACTTGATGTAATCCCACTTGTCTAATTTGGGGATTATCGTATGAGCTTTGGGGGTGTTATTTAAGAAGTCTTTGCCTACCTTGATGTCCCCAAGTGTTTCTCTTGTGTATTCCACCAGTAGTTTTATAGTTTGAGGTGTTAGATTTAGATCTTTGATACATTTTGAGTTTATTTTCATTAATGGTGAGAGAGAGGGGTCCAGTTTCATCTTTCTGCAGGTGAATACCCAGTTTTTCAGCACAATTTACTAAAGATGTTTTCTTTTGCCCACTGGATTGACTGGTGTCCTTTTTCAAAAATAAGTTGCCTGTATTTTTTTAGGGTTATTTCTGAGGTCACAATTTTGTTCCATTGGTCCACATGCCTGTTTTTGTGCTAGTCCCATGGTATTTTAATTATTATAGCTTTGTGATATGCTTTGGAGTCAGACAAAATATTTTGGGGTCCGACTTCATTTCTTTTGTGCAATTATTTCCTTGACAATATGAGGTCTTTAATAATTCCAGAAAAATTCTATGCTTGTTTTTTCTCAATCTGTGACAAATGTCTGTGATATTTTGATTGGGATTGCATTAAATTAGTAGATTAGTTTGTGTAGAATTGCAAATTTTGTTATATTAATGCTTCTGATCTAGAACAAGGGATGTCCTTCTACTTTTTTGTGTCACTTTCTATTTCTTTTTTCAAGTTTCTGTATTTTTGTTGTAGAGGTTTTTGGCTTCTTTGGTTAGGTTTATTAATAGGTATCTTATAGTTTTTCTAGTTATTGTAAATGGGATTGCATTCTTCATTTCTACCTCAGTCCGCTCATTGTTGGTGTATAGACATAGTATACATTTTTTGTATGTTGATTTTATATCCTGACATACTACTTTATTCATTTATTACTTCCAGGAGTTTTTTTCATGAACACCTTTGGGCCTTACATGTATATAATCATTTCTGCAAACAGAGAGAATTTTATCCCTTCTTTCCCTGGAATGCTTTTTATTTTATTCTCTTTTCTGATTGTGTTGGCTAGCGCTCCCAGAACTATTTTGAAAAGGAGTGGAGAAAGTGGGAAGCCTTGTCTTTTATTAGTTTTTAATAGAAAAACTTTTAGCTTTTCCTCCATTTGGTGTGATGATACCTATGGGTATTCCATAGATTTCTTTTTTTGTGTTCAGAAATGTTCCATCTGTTCTGATTTTACTGAGTCTTAAATATGAAGGGAGGTTGTATTTTATCAAATGATTTATCTGTATCGATTGATGTGATAATATGGTTTTTATCTTTATTTCTGTTAACTTGTGTATTACACTCATTGTCTTGTGTATGATGAACCTCCCTTGAATCCCTGGAATAAAACCTACCTGGTCACGATCTACAATATTTGTTTATGTGTCATTAGGTACAATTTGCTAGTGTTTTATTGAGAATTTTTGCATCTATATTTATCAGAGATATTGGCTTGTAGTATTCCTTTTTTGTCCTGTCCTTATCTGTTTTGGAGATAAGGTTAATGGAGGCTTCATAGAATGGATTTGAGAGGATTTCTTCCTTTTTGATCTTTGGAAATAGTTTGAGTAGGATGAGATTTAGTTCTTTAAAAGTTTTGTAGAATTCAGAACTAAATCCATCAGGACCTTGGTTTTTCTTTGTTGGGTGGTTATTTTATTTATTTATTATTTTGGAGAGGTTTTTGCTATAGGATGTGTGCACTCGCCAGAAAGATAGAGAGAGATAGAGAGATAGAAAGTGAGAAATCACCCCCGCCAGGGGAATGGCAACGCTGCAATCCCTTCTCCTCTGTTCTCCTCTCGGGATCTTGGGCATGCACTTACACGCACCCACCGTGAGTTTAAGCCACCAGGTCTGGGACTTGAAGCACGATAGACTACATGGGAATCCAGCGACATAGCCATATGCTAACTGCTGGTCCCTTTGTTGAGTGGTTGTTTATCACTGATTCATTCTCATTTTTTTTTAATGGGTTTATTCAGGTTTTCTATGTCTTCCTGTTTCAACCTTGATAGATTATATGTGTCCAGGAATTTGTCCATCTCAACCAGATTTTCTTGTTTTTTGGCATATGGTCGCTCATAGTATTTGCTATGATGTTTTGTATTCCTGTTCTGTATATTGTACAATTTCCTATTTCACTGTGAATTTGATTTATCTGGTTCATTTCTTTCTTCTTCATAATTAGTTTAGCTAATGGTGTTTCAATTTTGTTTATCTTTTCAAATAACCAGTTTTTGGTTTAATTTACTTTCTGTAGTGTTCACTTATTCTCTATTTCATTTATTTCTGCTCAAATCTATATTATTTCTTTTCTGCTGGCCTTTTTACTAGTTATTTTTTTGTCATTGCTGTTTTTCCAATTCCCTGAGGCATTTTATCAGGTTGTCTGTTTCCCACCATTCCATCTTTTTCTTGTATGGACTAATGCTATAAACTTTCCTCTTATGGTGGCCTTTGCTGTGTCCCACAGGTATGGAAAGTCATGTACTCATTAATATTAGCTTCAATGAATATTTTTATTTTAGTCATAGTTTCTTCAGTACTTGTAAAGTCATTCAGGAATAGGTTGTTTAGTTTCTGTATACTCAGGTATATTGGATGATTTTTTTCTTAAGTAAATTTCAAATTTAATTCAATCATGGTTCATGGAGATGCTGGGTAAAGTTCTATGCCTTTGAATTTATAAAGGCTTGTTTTGTGCCCTATCACATGTTCTCTTTTTGAAAGTTCCATGCAGACCTGAGAAAAATGTACATATTTTGGGTTTTGGTTGGAAGTTTCTATAGATGTCTGTCAAGTCCATTTGAATTCTGGTATCATTTTGATCCTGTATCTCTTTATTTTTGGTCTAGATGATCTGTTCAAAGTTGATAATGGGGTGTTACGATCCCACAGTTGGTGTGTTTCAGTCTATAGCCCCTTTAGAAGTCCTTTCTTCTCATACTTCAGCTTTCCTGATTTGGGTGCATAGATATTTATAAGCATTATATGTTTTTGATGTATTAGCCCTTTTAGAACTATACACTGTCCTTCTTTGTCTCTTCTTACACTTTGGTCTTAAAGTCTATTTTGTATGAAATCAGTTTCATGACTCCAGCCTCTTTTTGGTATCTGTTTGCACGAGATATCTTTTTACAGTCCTTCACTTTTAGTCTATGCATGTCTTTATCCCTGATGTATGCTCCTTGTACATAGCAGATACAGGGTACAGTTTTTTTGTTTTTGTTTTTGTTCTTCCATTTATTCAGTCTGTGTCTTTTGAAATGGGAGAGAATTTTCGTTATCTGTGCCTCAGATAAGGGACTGATAACCAGAATACATAGGGAACTCAAGCAGCTTACCCAGAAGAAAATGATTAACCCAAATAAAAGATGGGAAAATGAACTGAATAATGAACAACCAAAAGGCATATGAAAAAAATGCTCAACATTTCTCATTGTAAGGGAGATGCAAATCGAAATCACAATGAGATACCTCCTAACTCCAGTAAGAATGGCAAAAATTAATAAAAACAAATAATGGTAAATGTTGGAGGGGATGTGGTGAAAGGGGAATACTCCTAAATGGTTGGTGAAAAGGTAAATCGGTCTGGCCACTGTGGAGAACAATATGGAGGTTCCTCAAAGACCTTTAAATAGAACTACCATATGATCCAGCAATTCCACTCCTGGGTATCTACCCAAAGGACAGGAGAGCACTCAGTTGGAAAAACACTGGTACATGTTTATTACCATTATTTACAATTATTAGGACATGGAATCAACCCAAGTGTCCAAAAAATAGACCAGTGGATTGAAAAAAAAAAAAAACTTATATACTCTATGGAATACTACTCAGTCATAAAAAACAATAACACTGTGACATTTGATACAAAGTGGGTGAATATGGATGACTTAATGCTAAGTGAAGTAAGTCAGGCTATGAAAGACAGACTTTGTATGTCCCCACTCAATAGTAGAAACTGAAAGAATTTAAGGAATAATAGAAGTGAGAACAACTGTAGATACTAGAGATAGTAAGGATACAGGTATTCAGAGTGAGTATGGGGGAGGGAGGGAGGAGAGTAGAGAAAAAACAATATATTTGACACAAAAATGAAAATGTATTGCTGATGATAATGTATATTATCATGTCTTTGTTTTGCCCATTTTGCTGGCAAAAACCATGTTGTGTACTGAAAAGATGTTTAGTGATAAATGTAAATAATAAATACAAATATACATACAAATTTTTTGACCAGAGGATCTGTGCAAAATCAGGTTCTAATCGGCAAACCTTCCCTTGTGATAAGTTTTCAGAATTGCTAACACTTATAGAGTATTAATGAAAACAAACTATGAGCTAGTTTTGACTGAACTAAAATAAATCACATATGTTAAAAAAAATATATATATATATAATTTTCCAGAACATAATTTTTACAATCTAATGCCACCTATAGTTCCCAATAATGTCTTTTGAATGCTGCTTATTTTAATTTCCGTGGAAAGAATCTTTGAGGTGCAGAGTTTTTGTGACAGTAACTGAATGTGCTTTTGAGAAATCTACCTGCATGCATGTGAGGAAGGGCCAAGAAGCATACAAAGTGCAGCTGATAGGACTTAGACATAGCCAACTTGGAGGTTCTCCAGAGCTGGAATTTTCCTTTATGTTTGTTCCCAATTAATATCAAATTCCAAGGTCTTTATATCTAATTGTTGTCCTCTGACTGCCTCCGATAATGTCCTCTTCTTAGTGGCATAGATTTTTATGCTGTGTACATTTACTAGGAGGAAGAAATCACTAAATTTTCAGTAATGTTCCTAGCAGCAGGTGTTGGCCATGGACAAGAATCTGGGCAGAGCCTCAAGATTCCACTACTCATTTTCTTCCTATACTATGCAGCATGAATAATCTAATGACCCACAGAATTCCTTATGATCTGTTTATAATTCTCAAAATAAACCCAGCTTCTATAGTTTTTTCTTTTGATGTGAGAATTGCATTAGGAGAGACCCAAACATCATTCTGCAAAACTTACAACCCCATTCATTACCTGTGGTATTTTGTAGAGCTCCAAAAGGGTCCCAGTTTGGGCTGAAAATGTTGGAATATTTCCTGCAATGATAGCTACAGATCGTTTCTGTATCTGGCAGTTGTAGTTAGGCAGAGATTGATTACCTCCAGAGAGCAAAAACAGGGCACTCTCTAAGGTCCTCAGGTGACCCGGAAGTGCATTGTAGAGATTATAACCCAAGGAAAGGTTGGGAAGCAAATGGAGATTCTTATTAATTTCCTCAATGGCAAAGAGAAATGCCAATACATGTTGGTAGTTCCTCCAGAGCAACCTAAACAAAGGGAACAATATTATTAAAGGTGGTCCAGTCATGAGATTCACAGTAAACACTCATCCAAGTCGAAGTGCACAAAAAGCTACACTTTGTCTGCCATTCAGATACTTTCCAGTGTTGTTATATGTAACTGGTGTAAATGAGGGTCCTGAAATTCTGGAAAACTTTAAGGGGCTTTTCTCCTCCATTTAAAGAAATTGTGTCCAAACAACAAGAGAGATTTAAAGGACATTGTGAGTGGGATGAGGTCTCATTTAGCTGGATGATGATGCTGCCACCTGAATAGAGTATATTTTAAGAGAGATTTCTTAATGTATAGAGAATACAAAATTATTTTTTCTAGGGACATTAATAATATGTATGCACATTTACCACTTTCTATGCATTTTTAAAATTTTATGTAGGTAAATTATAGCTATACATATTTTTAAAGTACAAAGCAGTTTAAGGATTTATAAATATAATGCAGAGAAAGTTAACATATGCATCATCTCAAGTATTTAACATTTTCTGTGACAAGATTATTAGAAATAGTATCCCTTGAAAATATTTAAATGTGCAGTACTCAGGTCACTAGGTGGCATGGTAGTTAAGGCATTGAATCCCACCAGACTGACTCTGTGACTTGAGTTCCAAATCCAGAGGCCTGAAAAACACACCAAGCATTTGGACATGTGTTTTCAACAACATCACAAGAAGATGGGACCAGCAGTTAGCGTAATGGCTATGTTGCTGGACTCCCACGTAGTCGACCATGGTTTGCGTCCCGGACCCGGTGGCTTAAACTCACGCTGGGCGCGTGTGCGTGCGTGCCCAAGATCCCGAGAGGAGAATGGAGGAGAAGGGATTGCGGCGTGACCATCCCCCCTGGGGGGTGATTTCTCGCTTTCTATCTCTCTGTCTCTCTCTGTCTGTCTGGCGAGCGCACGTGCCCTATAGCAAAAAAAAAACCTCTCCAAAAACCAAACAACCAACCAAACAAACAAAACATCACAAGAAGAGAATGGAGAAGAAGAGATTTTAAATTGGCCATCCCCCTTGGGACATGATTTTTCCCTTTTCTTCTCTTTCTGGCCATGTTCCTCTCTGCAGATGCTCTATTGAAAAAAAAAAAAAAAAGACAAACAAATCACAGTACTCAAATATTAGCTCTATTCACCATGTTTACATTTACTTCCATAAACCCCTTTACAATGAGGTGTATTTCAAATGTCATTTTGTTTCTAAGTCCAGAAATCATGATGGAAGCATTCCTTATTTTCTTTATGCTCTAGAATATTTAATAACACTGGACTAAGCAGTTTTTCAACCATTTGGCAGAATTAACCTCTAACATACATTCATTTCGTGCATTTTCAGGGTTTTTTTTTTTTTTTTTAGAGATTTTTTTGCTATAGTGTGTGTGGCACAAAAGGGTCATTTCTAAACACAATAAAAGCCAGATATGGAAAACCTATATCTAACAGTATACTAAATGAAGAAAAATTGACAGCTTTTTCACTAAAACCTGGTACAAGAAAAGACTGCCCACTTTCTCCATTCCTTTCTAGGTTTGGAATGTTTCCTTCCAGTGTTTGATGGAATAGATTGGTCTTTGCCCTCTGAGATACCAATTATCCAGATATTTGGGCATTTAATGGTATCCAGTATTTCTCATATATTGTACTAGTTTTCCTTGGTTATTTTGTCAGAGGTTTTTTTTTTTTCATTTTTTAGTTCCTTTACTTTTATACATTCAATCGCATTATTTAGCTTTCAAAGTGGATATTTCAACATGTGAATATTTCTCCCTAGTCCAGTTGATAAAAATTTTAAAAATCTTCAGCAGATAATACCACTTTTCTTTGTCACATTAATGGTTTGCCTCCCTATTTTTCTTTTACATGTCCTTCCTCAGACCCTACTCTTTCACACACACTATATCTGGCATTTAAATTAATTTACTGTGTTTCTATATCCTTTACTCAATCAGTTTCAGTCATAGAGTGTAGACACTCAGTTTATATTAGTGGGGACATGCAATGTCTCTCCTTCATAGCCTGGTTTGCTTCACTCAGCAGTAAATGTTCCATATTCTTCCACTTTCTGTCAAAAGCCAGGGTTTTTTTGTCAGGTTTTTTTTTATGATTTATTTTAGATCAGAGGTTTTACTTCTACATTTGAGATTCAATCTCTTGTATGATCTAATTTTTTTTTATAGACCACATATTAGTTTATTTTTAACACCCATCATGCCATGAATTCATAGGGAATAGGTTCCAGTAGCTCGGGCTCCTTTCCATTGGTTCTCACAAAGTGTGCTTCTCTGGGTGGAACAGGCTGGTGCTTTAGTTGAACCCAGGTACCTTTCTCTTTGGCTTCTTTCTTTTTCTGGTCATTTTCCTTCACACATTTTAGGAAGCTATCTCTGCTCTTAGAATGTTTAATATGCTCAATATGCACATTGATTCTCTTGGCAAGAACCTTGCCCTTAACTTGTTTGTTCACAACAATGCCAACAGCATGCTGGGTAACATTGTAGACTCTTCCAGTTTTGCCATGGTAACATGTGTGGGGCATTCCTTTTTGAACAGTCCCCATTCCCTTAATGTCTACAATATCACCTTTCTTGTAGATTCGTATATATGTCACCAAAGGAACCACTCCATGTTTTCTAAATGTCCTAGAGAACATATATCGGGTTCCTCTCATCTTTCTCCCTTTGTGTTTGTCATTTTGGTTAATTACTGGAAGATGGCGGTTCCGGCCAAAAAGCCTAATCCTTTTTAATACTATTAAGGGAGCTTTTAATTTCCCATGTTAGTCTTCTCTAATAATTTCATTCGATTCTGTTTTATTGTGTCTATTTCTTCTTTCAAATTGTTAATGAACTTCCTCATCTCCTGTAGCTAATTGTCTTTTCTCTTGCATTTCTTTTGTTTTGTCACTATAAATATTATGAATTGCTTATCTGACATTTTTATGAGTTCTATTGTGTTGTCTCTAGATAAGGGATTGTTTTCCACTGGAGGGGAGCTAGTTCCTTCATTGCTCATATTTCTTGTCTACTTGAAGGTTTCTAGTCTTCTGTTGCTTTGTAAGTTTTTCGTAAGTTCTTCCAGTTAATTCTGTGCCTTTGAAGGTTTTCAGGAGTAAGAAACTGGCAATCTCTCTGCTGCTCTACCTCCCTGATGCTCACCAGCAACCTACACTGTTATCACCGAACTTGGGTAATTCAATGTCCTTTCAGTCTTTAGCAAACAGTTATGTCTGGGACTGAGCTGCTGAAATTCAACTGAGGAATAGAGAAGGGATTGTAGGGGTGTGCATTGCATGTGTTGTGCACCGCCTGCTTTAGGAAACACTGTAGTTTCAGAACTCAGAAGCTTTTGGCAGACAATATGCCACATACTCTCTGCATCTCAGTTTCCCCAGAACTCTTGAGGGTTCAAAGGAGAGTGGATAGGGATGAGCTATGGGACTATGTAGTACAAAATCTCAGCAAAGACCATTGATGGAATGAATGTTGTGAAGGACCAGAGAGGGCAATGTTTTCTCATGTCCTAAATAATGCACCTGAAAGTTCAAGGTGAGTGGACGAGGGAGTGATGATGGGGCTCTGCAGTACAGGCTTTCAGCCCCACAGGGCCACACAGTAGGACAAGGACCATCTTTGGAATGGGTGTCATGAAGGAGCAGAGAAGTCAAAGTCTTGTCAAGTCCCAAATAATGCACCTGAGAGCTCAAATGCAAGTGGGGGAAAGGATGAGCTACAGGGCTCTGCAGTACAAACTTTCAGTGGTGGAAGCTTGCAGTACAGCAAAGTCTGTCATTGACACATAGCAAATTTTTAAAAACCATGTAGGTCAGGGCTTATTTACTCCCTGACTCCACCTCCCTTTTCTATAGCCCTGTGAAAGAAGGAGCAGAGAGAAATCAGGCAGCTCTATCCCCTAGCCCACTGCACAGTTAATATGTGGGTCTGACCATGTTCATCCTCTGAGACCAACTCCCCATTCTTCAGTCCCAGAGTAAGAAAGTGAGTCGAGCTTTCGTTTGTGTGCTAATTCCCAACTAGGGGCAGACAGAAATCATGCATATCTTCCCTACAACCCCTCATCTTCTGCCAAGCTAGTGTGTGGGTTAGGGCCTGTTTTATTTCATGGACCACACATTATCTCCTCTTAGGTCAATCTCTTGTCTCATAGCAACACCCTAGGTCTAGGTATTTAGGAATGTAACATCTGAGAACTGTGGATCTGTGGAAGAGTTCTCTTCCACACTCACATCAGTGAAAGGAGAGAGAAAATCTTTTCTGTAAATTGTAAACAAAAACTTCCTATGTGGTTACAATCCTGCCACTGTATTTGATAGAAACTAGCACATAGCTAAGTCAGATCAAAATGACTACAGAAATTTACTCCAAAACAGAAGTGAGTATATCACTAGATGACTAAAAGTCACATCAGAGCCTCAAGAAATATAAATAATCCAGGAAATATTGCCCAACCCTAAAGAAAGACAAGAATTCCTCTCCAAAAACTGGATAAAGCAGAGGAAGACACTGAGATGACATAAAAGAATTTAGAGCATTTATTGTAACTGAACTCAATGACGTGTAAGAGAAAATAGTCAATCAACTCAGATGAGAAAATCACTCTACAATCTGAAGTAGGAACTACATAAACAATTACATTCCAAATATAGAATCACACAGAGTTTCCAAAGATGAAGACAGACTGTATTATAAGAGATCTCATTACGCTAACTGCTGGTTCCCCATACTCTGTAGTTCTTTTTTTTTTTTTTTTTTTTTTTTTTTTTTGGGGGGTTTTTTTTTAGGGCACA